TTTATTAAGTGATCGATAGATTTATTAGTAAATAATTTAAGACTTTATAAATAAAAATAAATTTATTTGAAATTATGTTTTTAAAGTAAAAATAAATATTTAGCAAAACTTAGAGAAAGAATAACTTCTTATTTGCCGTTTTATGTCAAGAGTTTGTTTGTCTCACATTTTTAGGCTTAAACTTATCGCAGAATTTCCAAACATCACAAAACATTGCAATTGTGTTTTGAATGAAAATATTGTTTTAATAGAGTTGTGTGTTTAGTATAATGTGATTAAATATAAAATCATGTTTGTTAGGGTGCAGAGAGACGGCATTTGTATACGCGATCACGAGTGCGGCGGTGGCACATGCCATAGCCCGGGCCTGTAGTGAAGGTAAGCACATATTGACGTTGATATGGTTTATGGCAATTACACTGTCTGTTGACTGAATACCCCGATGTGTTATGTGTTAGGTTTGATCGAGACGTGTACGTGTGACTACAGAAACAACCGGCGCCCCAATGGTCTGGACTGGGAGTGGGGCGGGTGTTCCGATAACATAGAGTTCGGCTATAAGTTCGCGCGGGCTTTCGTCGACGCGGCCGAGAGGGGCCGAGACCTCCGATTCATTATGAATCTCCATAACAACGAAGCCGGCCGTCTGGTGAGTCTGTCCTACCTGTATATCTACCTGTACCAATATCCACAATCACTACCTCTATATCTGTTTGTTATAAATGTCTTTTTACTATCAATCGCGAGGTTTTACATGTTATCAAAACTAATCGAAAGCCAAACAAAGTTTAGTTTTAAACAAAAATGACAATTATATCATATAATGCATTCATATATTGTCAATGTATTCAGAGAGCGAGGGGGACCGGGAGGGAGAGTGTGTTCGCTACAGGTTATCATAAGTGATATCTCATATTCACTGCATAAGAGGTAAACTCGAAAAGATTTTAACGAAAATTCACAGCATTTACTGTACAGACAAACAATTTAATGGATTGCAAACATTTTAAAGTGCTACAGGTTATCATAAGTGATATCTCATATTCACTGCATAAGAGGTAAACTCGAAAAGATTTTAACGAAAATTCACAGCATTTACTGTACAGACAAACAATTTAATGGATTGCAAACATTTTAAAGTCGAAATGTATGGGAAGCTACTTATGTATTGGACAGGGAGCACATGGAGTATATACTCAGTGAATACATGTTTCCTGTTGAGTACCACAAAGAGAAGACTAACGATCTAAACACTAAAAACACTGTTTGTATATATACTGTAGTATTAGTTTGGAAAACTTTTATGACGACTAAGAAGTGTCATAATAAGGACTGGATATGACGTTAAATGTAGGCATCACTGGCACTACTGGTTATGCCTACGCTCTGTGCTCTCTGTCCGTCCGATGGCTTATCGACTCTGCAATTAGCGAAACGATGCAATTAGTAGGACCCGAACCGTGCGATTCAATGCGCGTATAATTACTATATCTCTCCAACAAATACATTATTGTGTGAAACTCAGATAAGTGTCTATCAGTGGCTATCAGTTTCACTTAGAGTTACGCCAAACATCACTCAACATTCATGTGCTTCACTATAATGTCAGTCCTAACCATCACTAACATTACAAACCCTGACAGACACTGACACTGCCCTCACGTTTAAGAGTACATCAAATCTATTAAATCACTTTATTTACGCATAACAGCCATCACACACACAAAACCAGTATAAATCCCATTCAAATGCATTGCTTGAACATATGATACATACACAAGAATTTCTGCCTATAAGTAGATTCCGGGCGATTTACATTCCTCATTAACTATGAGAAATACTTATTAATTGATACCTGTTCTGAATAATGCTCACAAAAACACTTATTAATTCATTCAATTACTTTTATTTCCCCTTAACCGTGTTTCTATATCCATTTCCGATCAAACTTTTAATTATCTCCTATAAAGCTCTAAATGAAAACAATTTCCATTCATTCAAATTCCTTTAAATTTTGAGATGTTTTTTCATTGCCTTCTATTATTGAATGGTTGAGTTGATGGGGTATTAAAAAAGGTATTCCTCTTAAATGGTTATTTAATCTGTAAAATTTCCCTAAAACTGAATGACAGTATGTGTGCAGTAGGTATGAGCGAGTAGTCCATCACTAGTACATCACTACATCAAACACTCAAACATTACATTCATTGAGTTTGACTTGTCTTGAGTCAATTTAGACATAAATAAGTCTACGCTGTCTATAGCCCTCATTCAACTGCAATACCAGTCATTCTCAGACTCTCTCTCTCTCGCTCTCTCTCTCTCTCTCTCTCTCTCGCTCTCTCGTGTACCTCAACTCAACCTCTTCTCGAATATATTGTGCATATTTGCCAAAATCCGACCCTATATTCAATATATCCAATATATTCTTGACATTAGAGGGCCCTTAAGGCAAGACATCACATAAAAGTTAACTAAACTACTGTCTAAACGCTGTAGAGTTAGCTCTACATTTTTCAAAGAATATTTGATTAGTTTGTGAATGAAGTGAAAAGTCAAGTCCTAAAGTGAATGTATTATTATGTTTGATAGCATGTGTCCAATGAAATGAGACGGGAGTGCAAATGTCATGGGATGAGTGGCTCGTGGTATGTAAACAACTGCAGAAAACTCTATATTAACTAATTTGGGTGCCATTTGAAGCACTGTCAGGACGTGTTGGATGCGTTTACCCGCCTTCAGAGACATCGGAAACAATCTGAAGGACAGGTTCGACGGCGCGTCCCGAGTGCTCGTCAGTAACGACTACCGCGGACTCACCCGAAAAAAGTATAAAAAAGTTCAGCTCAAGCCCTATGAGACCGGTATGCATTGGCACACAAACTTTCCTAAGATAACTGAATACAGTATAACTCTTATGACAAATGATTGCATACTTTGTATGACTGTTAGGCTACAAAAGCCCGACGCGAAAGGATTTGATTTATTTTGAAGAATCGCCTGATTTTTGTGTCGCGAACCAAAAGTTTGGTGTTTTGGGCACAAAAGGAAGGGTTTGTAACGACACGTCAATTGGTGTGGAAGGTATGCCAACGTGCGGCATGTGTATGTTATCGGAAACGATTGATTGAGATTTGGTTTGTTATTTGGTTTCATATTAGGATGTGATCTGTTATGCTGTGGTCGCGGATATAAAACTGAGATCAGAGAGGAGTTGGAGCGCTGTAACTGCACTTTCCACTGGTGCTGTCAGGTATGCCCTTGTTTGCCAACCCCTGTGTTCAATATGTGCTCTCAATTAAATATTATTTCAATTTTTTTTTCAAATCAGGTGAAGTGCAACATATGTAAGGCTAGGAAAACAGTTCACACGTGTTTGTGATACGATTTATACGGTTTTTAAATGTGAACACATCAAACATGTTCAACCAAAATATGTGCCATTTTTCGATAAAAAAGTTATTAAGAAATTCAAGTTCTCATTACAATATACAGTGTATACGAATGACTAGTTTATAGTAATAGCGAACATATTCTGTGAGAATATTTTTGTCTTATTTGTGAATTTGTGTAGAGTTTGAAAGATATTGTGTTTTGAGATATAATTGCAAACACTTTATTATAAATGAATAATTTAGATGTGAAGATATCTTCATTGCATTCCTATATAGTATTTAGTAGACATAGTAATAAATTTTGTAAATATAGTGTAGATATAGCTGTAAATAACATCAGATTTATTTGTAATAACTTATTCATAAATTTATAACCTTTTTATCACTGCTTCTCATCAGTTATTTATTCATATTGTCATTCATTTACTACTTAATGAACATTTAATGCAATTTATTCTCATTATATCGTAAATACTTGTGTTCAATACTTTTCATAACTTAGTATTTATTAATCAATTACTTAATTAATGTTAATAATAGTGAATAATACTATTAAATTTGATTTAATATTGTATAGAAATTTTCTATTGAAAACATTTGTGAAACAAATTGTTAAATAATTTATAGTCACAGGAAAGTTATAAAACTATTTTTGAGATAAAAATTATTTTCACATTTCGATGCCATATATTATAATAATATTATTCAACTCATTGGAGCCTTTGATTCAATTTTCTTTTGACTAAAAGCAGTCTTATATCTCATTTAATCAAAAGTTACGGCTTTTGCCACTTCTTGACTTCAAATTCACTCTCAGTTTTGTTGACTAACAGCACACCTGTCCGGCCAGTCAGGTATGCAGTATAATGAAAATACTTGAAATAATTGTTCAAAACACACATTGAGGTCTGAATGTCTATAATAATAGCAGTACTGATGACCAGTACATTCTTGTCTCATAATTCATGTGTTGACATGTAATCCCTATTCCCAATACATTGCAATGACACGAAAACTTGTTTTTTACCAATTATTTGGAGACCCTTTACACAAAACTAATTCTAATTGAATTCAAAACTAATCTGATTTTCTTATATTTCTCAAATCTCTTGAAAGGGAAAAATAGTAAAAATTTATGGCAAATATTTGTATAATTTTTATTATACATATTCTGATATAAATTTTTAAAATAATTCCTTTTGATTGCATTCCTCACATAAAAATAACTCAAATGACATATTTATCTGCCTTTAGATCTAAACTTATAATAAAGTAATCTCTAAAAAATTGTACATTTCTTACTCATACGGTTCTGTATTGTATAATTCAAAACTCAAAGTTTTGTAAATGTTTTCATTCACTCCTAAAACGAGTATAAAAATGAAGACATAAAGAGAGACTCAAAATGTGTTTCAATTAATGAAATGTAATAAAAATTGTTTTTTGGTTTTGTCTGATCTTATTATATGTATTGATTGAATGCGAATAAAAAATAAATATTTTTATATAAAGATTGCTGAAGTTTAATTGCTTTATGAGAATTTTAATTGCTATTATTATCTAAATTTCATTTTGATTTACATCCGTTTTATAACAATTGCGTTAACAATAATATTTATTTGCAATTTTCTGCCCACACTTTCATATATCAAAGCTGTTATATAAAGTGCACTATTATAACAGAAATCCTTATCGACTTAAGTAAATATGACTAATATATTAATACTGCGTTAAGAATAAAATATGATTTTAACAAAACTAATAATTTTTTATTATTTCGCTTGCAATATATGAAGTACTTGAGAACTCATTTAACAGATAGCATATTAATTACCGGTAGTTGTGGGCAATGTAGGCATTCCCATTCAAGATTAATATTAATAGAAAAATAATATGTATAATGTATAAGAACAAAGTTATACTGGTACTTTTTATGGAAACAATTCAAATGATTTCTAACGAGTAAAATGAATTTCTATTGTATAAAGTAATTATAATATCTCAAGTGGGTACTCTACATTTATTATTAGTACGTTTAAATATATATTATTTAAATTTTTGGTAAACTGGCCTTTGTTATTAAATTAGACATAAATTGTTATATAGACTAATTAAATAATGAGCAATAATTGAATATGAATATGAATGACATTTATGATGACAAAAGAATGTATAATAAGTGATTGATTTGAATCTATAAAAACTAATATTATATTAAAACGATATCAAAACATTAGCCTTACTTTAGACAAAACAAACATATCATAAGAGCTTTGAATATAAAACAATTGATATGAAGTGATCTCTTCTAAGCTCTCAATTCCTCTCCTATTATTAATAAACAATATATACTTAAAGTAATGCTAAATAATGTGGAGGAGAGACTGATATGTTTGATACGAGTGGTGAGTGTAACCACGAAACAAATTATTTTTTTATGTTTGATAAGTGTTTAAATCTCTATTAGAGCTTCATGAGCATGCAACACGAGATTATTTGCGCACATTTTGGTCTTTTCAAAAGGCTAATGATTTGTATTTTATTAAAATATAATTTGTGAATTAGAAGTTTGTTTTGTGAATTGACGATAAACTATAAATATTTCATTCATTTCGGATTTCAGTATCCATTCAAATGAGTTAAACAAATATAGCGTAAACTGAAGACCAAGTGATTCGAGACAAGAATTCCTAATAAATATCATCTCAAGAGTTCTTGTTGTGAAGAAATGTTCAAAATGTGCTAAAAGTTTATGAGACTTTTGTTGACTTTATATTTAACTTTTAGAAAAAGTAATATAAAAACTGAAGAATAATATATCGTAAAAGAATATACACTGGATATACAGTACATTGTAGTGAACAGTAGATATCATATACTGAACAGTGGATTATATTGTATTGTATTGTAGTGTAATGTACCAGTACAGTAAGGTAAGGTATGGTTAGTGGATGTGTGGGGTGAGAGAGAGAGAGAGAGAGAGAGAGAGAGAGAGA